ACAGTAAGTTCATAAGAGCAAGCACTTATTTTTTACTGTAGGAGCAATACCTACCACTTAGGCGAAGAAGTATTTGTTGAAGGAAGGATCTGTTGAATCATTTCAATTGAGCATTCAGTTAAGCATTGTGTTGGGCTAAATTTACTGATGTTTTCAATGGAAAGCAAATTTTGTATTTACATTCATTTTAAAAATAAAAGTGAGTAACTTTGGGGGCCTCTGCTTTATTATCTATAAAATGGGGATGAGTGAAGAGGTTAAACTTTATGGTCTCTAAGATTTTTTTGTAGCTCTAGCTTCTAAAAAGGAGGTGGAGTCTGCTGTAACTGAAATGATTCTGGGCTGACCCACAGCTTAGTGGCAAACTGGGGAGCTCTGTCCTCAGTGCTACTCAAGAGATTTATCTGAAGCTCAAGGGCATCCTTCACTCTTTTCCCCACCAGCCAGCCTGGCAATGCTTCCACAGAAATCTCTCTAGACATCCTCCTTGGTACTAACCCTAGTGCACTGCCTTGGCCAGGACAGCATCAGCCCTCTCCTGGACCACTGCACCAGTTTCCTCTCTGTGTCCAGTCCCCCTATCACCTAGCTCATACTGGCCCTGGCTGCCCGTACAAACACAGAACTCTGATCACATTCACATCACTCAAATGTGGCTGGAGACATTTCACTTGAAAATACTTTGTGAATGTCAGACAAAAGCTACTCAGCAAAAGGCACTTGAGAGGCAGCTGAGGTGGGTTGGCCATGCATGGCTTCCTAGAAGAGGCTACACTTTGAAGCCTGAAACCAGAGGAAGGAAGATTGACAGAAGTGGGGGAAATGATGTGTGTCATATTAAAGACAGAGCCTAAATGAAGGTGGAGAATTTCAGCTGTCAAAATGTTCTGATGGAGCAAAGCATGATCCAGAGGGGCAGTAGGTTCTGGCCAAAGCACCAAGGCTGAATTAGACATCCCAGAAAATAGGACAAAATAGGAGAAATCCCCATCTCCTGGGGTCGGGGAGGGTCAAGATGACCTCTAGAAGAATCCCACAAACAACCACTTCCCCTTCAGTCAGAGACTCCGGTTTTCCTTTGAAGAGCCACCCTCTGCAGTGCTCAGCCTACGGAGTTTGGTTGGAGCTGAGCCCATTACAATCTCGGATGATGGGTCCGCGATCTAATGTTTATCAGTCAGCATAATCTATCAATCATGGTCACAACTGTCCATTCAGGGTTAGCAGTCTTTCAACGCCCCCTGGTGTACTGAAGTTCACTTCTGGCACTAACTGCCCAGAGTTAAGGGCTCATTCCTCCACAAGACTGCCCCCACTTCAGATGCCAGCTGCAGGTGCAGTCCCCCATCCATCCTTCTGGTCAACTGCCTACAGATCTGGAAGTCTCCCAAGATCTCCCTCAGGTTTGATAATTTGCTCAAACAACTCAGAATGCATGAAGCACTGTACTTATGAGTATGGTTATATTTTCTAATAAAAGATACAAGTCAGGAATAGCCAAATTAAGAGATATATAGGGTGAGGTCTGGGAGGGTCCACATAGAATCAGGATACATCATCCTCCTGGCACATCAGTGTATTCACCAACTAGGAAGCCCTACTGAGCTTCAGTGTCCAGAGTTTTTATTGGGGTTTCATGACTTAGGCATGATTGGTTAAATAAATCATCACCAGGTGACTGAACTTAATCTCCAAGCCCCTTCCCCTCCCTGAAGATCAAACTGGCTCAAAATCCCAACCTTCTAATCACAAAGTTGGTCTTTCTGGTGAGCAGCCCCCAACCAGAAGCTACGTAGGGGCTTGCATTAGTCACCTCATTAGCAAAAGCTCAGGTGTGATCTAAGGGGCTCATGAATAACAGACACTTCTGTCACCTGGGAAATGCCAAGTATTTTAAAAGTGCTATGCCAAGAACCTGAGATAAAGGCCAGACAAATTCCTTATTATACAACAGATAGGCTTTGGGTGACCCAAGCTGAGCTGATGAGACGCACCACTATTGCACTTGCTGGAATTATTGGGAAAGCTGTGATCTTTTTTCCACTAGGATTATGAAGCTGGTAGAATGTAAGCTTTGCTCCAAGTTCAAATGGACACTGTTTGAGCCTCTGGCTCCAACTATGCCTAAAGTCACTCTACCTCTGATTTTTAAATTCTGTGAATGAACCATAACTCCCCCTCTTTTCATGTTTAAACTACCTTAAATGGAGTGGGGTGGGGTGGGCTGATTACCTGTAACTGAAAGCATCCAGAGTATTACATCCCTTGTTCGTGGGGAGGAAGAAATGTTTCTTCCTTTCATAGCAATACCTTGACTTAACCTGGGCTCCCGATCTCATCCTTCCTACTTTCCCCAAGCCTCACTCCTTCAATTCCATCCTTTCTACTGGCTCCTTTCCCCTTAGGCTTTAGACATAATCAGGTTTCCCTCAGGATATAAACAAACAAGCAAACCTTTCCACCCTCTAAAACTACAACCCTCCATATCTCTCTCCTTCCCTTTTTGGCCAAACTGTGTAGGACAGCCCTCTGCATTCCTCCTCCCACTTCTTCACCTTCCTTCATTCCTCTGTCTGCTACCATTGGCTTCTGCTTCCATCACTTCCCTCAAATTACTCTCAACAAAGTCGCTAAGCAATCTAAGTCATAGATGTTTTCTACAGAAGACAATGGCAGTGCCTAGTACCATGGGTCCCTTTTTACCATTTGTGTGTTAAGTGTTTGCCCAAACTACACCCCTCCCCACCCACCCACACATACTCCCTGGTCTTTGGTGTGTGGTTTTTCTTCCAGTTAGAACTTCCCCTCAAAAAAAATTTTGGAGGAATGTCCTCAGGCTACTGGAGCCTTTGCCTGAGAATTCACATCTCCTAGGGGCAGCCCTAGTCTACAGCTGAGGGATGTTGGTATATGAAAGGCCCACCTCCCTTGTTTCTGGACAAATCTGAGGTACAACTTATACCTGGAGCTCCCCTGAAGAATCAAGCTGAATTACTCTCTTCCTGAGATCACGTTTGTTTGGTTTCCTCTCCTGCTTCTCCCACTCCTTTACTGGTTTCTTCTGGTAGCACTTTTTAAATAAATAAATCACTTGCACACAAATTCTCATCTAAGGGTGTGCTTCTGGGTTTCTGCTCCTCTTTCTTTGCCTGCCTGTTAAAAGTGGCTCATTCCCCAGATTCAGAGCCTAGGCCTTCTTCTCTCTACATGTGTTACCTGGACAATCTCATTCATGTCCATGGCTTTAACCACTATTCATGTCTGATCTCAACCACACTGCTTCATGCAGGTGAGACAGTAGATCCATCTCTGCTGGACAGCTCCACCTAGCTGTCCACAGATACCTCCTGCACTACTATAGTAGTCATTAGGCACATGTGGCTATTTTAATTTCAATTAATTAAAATGAAAACTTCAGTTCCTTATTACACTAACCACAGTTCAAGTGTTCAACAGCCACATGTGGCTAGTGGCTATCATACTGGGCAATGGCAATATAAAACATTTCAGTCATTGCAGAAGTTTTACTGGACAGCTCAGACATAACATTTCCAAGCATAATTCATCATCACCAGCCCCTTGCCTTTCTGTATTCCTCAACTTGTCTCACTCCTGGACAACGATGGGCAAACTACAGAGAAAGGGTTTATACGGGTATCAAGGAGGAGGGAGGTGAACACACAACTACTCTTTTCCATTAACATCTTCCTCTGAACTGGGAAGATGGATGGACAAAGATGGTGAAGAAGACCTTAACAAAGGCCATCTATGAGCCAATGTAAATTTAGTTAGAGCTAGGGTAGAGATGGTGACTAAGGCTGGCTTGCCCTTCCACAATGAATTTTTCCAACTCCATCCAGCAGCCTCAACTTTGAACATTCTTGTGTGAGTCAGGGCATTTATCCATCTCCAGTCTCGTGGGTCATGTGCCTTTGTGTTTCAGTACAAGAACGTGATACAAGCCAATTAGTCAGTTCTGGAAATTTTATTGCAAATCTCAGGGGGAAAAAAAGACATGTTCCTTGTACAGAGTTGCTAACCTATTACGATTTAAGTTTGGAGCTGTGGAAATCCATTTTGCCACTAAGAGAGGAGCGCCCTGCCCGAGAGTGAGGCCAAAGGCACGGGGAAAGCAGAGCCTAGAGGTGAACGACAAGGTTCTGATATCTTTTGGCCCTTTTATTCAGCTGCACCTGAAGACACTCGATCCATTCTTTTCAACGTCTGGGGCCAAAAGATTCCCTTATTACTTAGGTCAGCTGGAGCTGGTCAATGAGAGACCTGACTGATGAGGAGCTCATCTTGCTCATGATTTCAACTACCCTCCATACCTCAATGATTCCTAATTTGTATATGGGGCCTTAATGTCTCTTCTGAGCTCCAGACTATGTCCACCTGCCTCCTGACGTCCCATAAGCACGTCCAAAACTGACCCCATTATTCCTGTCCCCCCTCCCCCTTTATTTCCCAGCTCTGAAATGGAACCTCCTAGAACCTCCAGTACTTTCCTCAGAGAAGCCAAGGTCGTAAGTTCAGGCTCCGCCTCCTCACAGGGCCTCACCAAGGTCACCCGCATCTTCCCTCCTCCAGCTCCTTGGGGGCGGCGTCCGCGAACCCCTCTTCAGCCCGGCCAGGCGCTCTAGGCTGCTGCGGGCCCTTCAAAAAGCCTTATCTCGCTGATTTCCGGTACCGGTGGCTCCTCTAGCCTCCATCAGGGCCTTGAGACTCTATTCCCCTAAGGCGCCTTCTCTATGGTAGACCGCTCCCCTTTGTCCCAGATTTCCTCTTGGAGGGCGCTTTAGCGGGACCCAACTCTCTCCTACGGCTGCTTCTGCAGTTCCTTTTAGGTGCAACTGGAGAAGTCACTGAGCCCTCCGAGAGTCACGCTCTCTTAGCTCTGGAAGGGTTGCACGGAGTGGGAGGATGGCGGAAGTGAGTGTGAAGGTGCCCTTCCCTCTCCCCGCTCTTCTCTATGGTCGCTTCCTTCGGTGACGGGAAAAATAGGGGTCCCGGCGCCTGCGCAGAACCGGGCTGGGAGCTAGTCGCGGGGTGGGGGGTGGGGCAGGGAGCGGGAGCTGCCGCCGCCGCCGGAGCTAACCGCGGGGACCGAGATGCAGGTGGGACCGGAACCGGAACCCCCCTCTTCAAGTCCCTCTTCCCTCTCAGCGACCCGGCCCCGGCGCCTGCGGGGATCCCTGGGTGGGGGCGGACGTGGGGGGCTAGAGACAGGAGGGGTGCCCGGCCCCGGAGAGTGCAGCAGATAGGGCTGCTTCCCTGGAGGCTGCGGCCCCGGGGAATGGGCGGGTAGAGGGTGTCCAGGGAGGAGGGTCGGGTCGTAGTGGATTGACCACCGGTCCCGGAGGGTCCGAGCCAGGAGCGGAGCCTGCACCCTCCACCACCCGCCCTTCGGGAAATAGCAGAACTGAGCCAAGAGGCAGGTGCACTGGGAAAATGTGTCTGATTCCCGCTTGGCAGAAGAGAAACTGAGTCACCAGCTCAGGAGTCACAGGGTCAGCGGGCCTGAAGGGGGCTGGGTCGGCCTGTGGTGCAGAGGGTTGGGTGGGCCCGTGTGAGCTGAGGTGGCCTCTGCCTGGAGATTGGTCTGTCTGCTGTGTCTGCACCTCTTGGCTCGGTTCCCTTGTGCCCCATGACTCTTGCATCTCCTGGCTTCTTCTCGTTAGTTTGGAATTATCCCCATGGTTGGAGCCATCTGAGTGTGTAGGGCCTAGACCAAGGAGGAAGGAGAGGGGTTTGCTGACTGTGGGTCTGAGCAGGAAATCTGAGATTTGGGGAGATTTACCTGAACTGCCCTCTCCCCAGTCTTGGTGCCAGTCATCTTAAATATAATATGTGGGAGGAACACAGACCGAAGAGCCATGGGTTGTAAATTCCATGCCCATCTCTGCGACCTGCTAGTTGTAAGACCTTGGGGAGGCTCTTCCTTTCACTAATTTCTCTTAGAAAATTGGAACCCATAAAGATAGTTAATAGGGCAGTCATGTATTGTGTGTTTACTTTGTGTCAGGCACAAACATGTTCCATTTAATTCTCCCAACAGTTCTAGGGGTTAGGGATCATTAGCTCTGTTTCATAGATATGAAAACTGAAGCTCAGAGAGGACATATAATTTGTTCAAGACCACACAGCTAATAGGTGGACAGAGATGGAATTTCATCCTAAGTCTGACTCCATAACCTATGGCCTTAACTACCAGGCTAACCAGCCTTTAGGGCACGCTTGAGAAGAGGGAGGTGAAAAAGCCAAGGCCCCAACTCCCTGTTATGTTTTATTTAGTTTGTGGCCAGCAAAGACTTGCCCAGACCCAGTCCACAGTCTGTCCTCACCTGGTGCTGCTGCTTCTGGGCCCTAGACTGAAGGGGCACCAAAGAAGTGGGCTGCGGCCATTCCAAGCCTCCTTCACACAGTACTTGGGTGCTGGTCCCTGGGGTCAACTTTCAAGACAGTTAACTCTTTCACTCCATCATCCATCCACCCTCCCTCCTCAGAGATGGACCTCAAGATGCATGAGGCAAGGTCTCTAAGTTCCGTAGGCCTAGCTCCCCTGAAAGCTGGGGCAGTGTGAGGCGGTGACTGCGGCTGGTCCAGCCAGTCCCTGGGGACAAGGACTGTGTAGTGGGGAAAACAGTAGACTTGGAGTTATGAACCTTTTTCTGAGCTTTGGTTTCCTCATCTATTATAGAGGCTATTAAGACCTCTCACAGGGAAAGGTAAGAACAGCACACGGGGAAGTATATAATAAATATTGAAGGGTCGTTTTAGGGAAGGGAGGTATTGTGGAAAAGATCCCCACTTAGAGGAAAGCGCTGCCCAGCCGTCTGTCACACCTGGGAGCCAAAACTGGGAGAGTGGATTGGGGAGGCAGCAGTGGGAGCAGGCCAGACACTGGGGAGCCGATTGGTTGGCTGGGTCTTATGGGGTGCGAGGATCTGCAGAAGGGAGGGGAGGCAGGGTGGTTGTTTGTGCGCCGTTGCTTTCCGAGGAGTCTAGGCCAGAGGAGGGGGGAGTCTGGCTCGGGGTGGGGCTCTGGCCCCAGTCCCACCTCAGCAGTGACTCCGTGTATGTGCCTCTTCCTTCTGCAGCTGCTGCCGCTCACCCCGTGTCTTCTGGCCGCTTCCCTCTTTGCTGCCCCTCCCCACAGGCTCCCCCTCTCCACCTCCTGGGGGCCATCATGAATGGTGCCCCTTCCCCAGAGGATGGGGCCTCCCCCTCCCCTCCCCCCCTTGCCACCCCCTCCTCCTCCTAGTTGGCGGGAGTTCTGCGAGTCCCATGCCCGGGCTGCTGCCCTGGATTTTGCCCATCGTTTTCGCCTCTACCTGGCCTCCCACCCCCAGTACGCAGGGCCCAGGGCTGAGGCCACCTTCTCCCGCCGTTTTGCTGAGCTCTTCCTGCAGCACTTTGAAGCTGAGGTGGCCCGGGCCTCTGGCTCCCTCTCGCCACCCATCCTGACTCCTCTGAGTCCTGGTGTGGAGATCCCGCCACAGGACCTGTCCCTTGAGAGCTGCAGGGTGGGCGGGCCCCTGGCTGTGCTGGGCCCTTCTCGATCCTCTGAGGACCTGGCCGGCCCCCTCCCTTCCTCGGTCTCTTCCTCTTCTACGACCTCCTCCTCGAAGCCGAAGCTAAAGAAGCGCTTCTCCCTCCGCTCAGTGGGTCGCTCTGTCCGCGGTTCGGTCCGCGGCATCCTGCAGTGGCGGGGGACCGTTGACCCTCCCTCCCCAGCTGGGCCCCTGGAGACCTCATCGGGCCCCTCAGTGTTGGGTGGAAACAGCAACTCCAACTCCTCTGGCGGGGCTGGGACCATTGGTAGGGGACTGGTTAGTGACGGAACATCCTCTGGGGACAGATGGACTCACCGTTTTGAGAGGCTGAGACTCAGTCGGGGAGGGGGGACCTTGAAGGACGGAGCAGGCGTGGTGCAGAGAGAAGAGCTACTGAGTTTCATGGGGGCTGAAGAGGCAGCCCCTGACCCAGCTGGAGTGGGCCGGGGAGGAGGGGCGGCGGGGCCTTCCTCAGGGGGAGGAGGGCAACCTCAGTGGCAGAAGTGTCGCTTGCTGCTTCGAAGTGAAGGCGAAGGAGGAGGAGGCAGTCGTCTGGAGTTCTTTGTACCACCAAAGGTGAGGCCTAAGGCGGGTGGGTGACTGGGAGCAAGGGATTAAGCAGCCAGGATGGTGACTCGGCTCACATACCTGTTTGCTTACTGTGGTTTTTCAGGGTAGCTCCTGACTCTGGGTTAGTAGCCGAGGGCAGGACTGAGAAAGTACTATTACTACCTTTTGTCTAACTCCCTTAGGGTGTGGAGGGAAAAATGAATCTCTGGAGGGAAGGGAAAGTTGGTCTGTGCACACCCAAAGTCTGGACCTTATTCTCTCTCCCAACCTAGGCATCTCGGCCTCGACTCAGCATTCCCTGCTCTAGCATCACTGATGTGCGGACAACCACAGCCCTGGAGATGCCTGACCGGGAGAACACGTTTGTGGTTAAGGTAGGAGCTCTGGGCTCCCCTGCCCGCTTGGAGCACTCGTGCTGTGGAGAGAGTTCTTAGCACTTTTAAGCAAGGGATCCTGGTGGAAGGAGGTGCACGTACGTCAGGTGCCTTAAGAGTGTGTCCCTGGGGCTGCAGCTTTTTTGGGAGGAGGGATGAGAGGAAGGATATTCTAGTTCCTGTTAGGGGTGAATTAGACCTGGAAGTGGCCTGTGGGCCTCCTCTTGTCCCCATAGGTGGAAGGCCCCTCGGAGTATATCCTGGAGACAACTGATGCTCTACATGTGAAGGCCTGGGTATCTGACATCCAAGAATGCCTGAGCCTGGGGTGAGAAGCCTGGCTTCTGTCACCAGGGACACCAGGGGTGAGGATGGGGATCAGCCCTGTGCTTCTCCCCTGGTGACTTTCCTCCCAGCACCATTTTCCCTGTCTCCGCAGACCTTACCCTGCTACCAGTCCCCGCCCCATGACCCTCCCCCTGGCCCCTGGGACCTCGTTCCTGACAAGGGAGAACACAGACAGCCTGGAGCTGCCCTGCCTGAATCACTCAGAGAGTCTGCCCAGCCAAGGGCTGCTGCTGGGGCCCAGCGAGAGCAACGATCGCCTGTCACAGGGTAAGGGTGGAGCCTTAGAGTGCTGTGAACCTCAGGACCTGCCACACAATACCCCTGGCCATCAAGCCAGGCCCTCCTTCCAGACTCTACTGTGTCCCTTAGTCCTGCTCCTAGCTGCCACCCACCAGATGCTTGGCTTTTGTCCCTGATCAGGCCACAGTTTACCATTTAGAACCATCACCATCACCAGCCAACAGGAGCTCCAAGTCAACTCTTATCCAGCCTTCTGTGCCCAGCCTTTTTCCCTTTTCCACAAGCCTTGTGCAGGCCACCACTCTGGCTGGAGATAATGGTTCTCTTCTTCAGACTTCCAGAACACTTTGTATACATCTTTGTTTTGTTCTTACCCTGCATCTCTGTGCCTATGTTGATGGTACTAAGTTTACTTTTGACTCCCTACTTCTAAATACACATGTACCCTACCCACACACATAAACACACAAAAGAGTGTCTACCTGGCCCCAGCTCACCTTTCTAGACTCCATCACACCCTTTTCTTCTGATCTTCCATTCTGAACTTTAGTTTCACTGTGATTAGCACACAGGCTATATTTGATGAGTAAACAAATGAATTAAAGAATCTTAGAGCTGGAATGGACCTTTCAGGTCATCAATTCCAATCTCCTCATTTTTCAGGCAACTAAGACCAGAGAGAAGTGTCTTTTCTGAGGTCATCCGAGAGTCACTGACAAAGACAGAGGCGATGCCAGCTTGGTGCCTGAGCCACCACACTCTGCACTCAGCATAGACCTGTCTTCTGAGCACTATGTCCAACGTGCCTGTAGGCTCAAGCCTGCTGCTCAGCAGACATTCAGGAATGCCCTAGTACATCCCGACCCTGTGCTGGGCTCTGGCAGAATGGGGAGCGCAGAGCTATTCCATGGGCTCAGTCTAGCTGAGTTGACAAGACATCACTCCCTCTAAAAAGCAGGACTCCAAATGGAGAGCTTGTGCTTAGTGTCCTCTGAGCAGCACCAGCAGGAAGCTTTGGGCGCTCAGAGGAGGAAGAGAATCAGGGGAGGTGGAACAGACAGGGAATGCTACACAGGGAGGTGAGAGAAGAGGACACGACTTGGGGGAAGCAAATGGTGAGAGCAGAGACCTGAGATGGGGAGAGCCCAGGAGATCTGGAAAAAATCAGATGGATTGATTGGGCTAAAGCAGAGGATACGTGAATGAATACAAGCTAATATGAAGGTCAAGTTGGTCAGGTTGGGGGATTCACAGAACTCTGATGCTTCTGAGAGTTGGGGGCTTTGTCTTGTAGGCCAAAAGTGACCCCTTTTTAACATGAAAATATTTGAGGGATTCTAACCCCCACCTCTGCAACAATAGCTCTACTTTCAGCTGTCAGTTCAGAAAAGATAAATGCACATCTGGATTCTAGGACCTTGTAGGTATAACTCTGTAGTCCGTAGGTAGTGCATAAAGCATGAAGCATAAGTTAGGAGCCATTAATAAAAGCCATCAGGCTCACTGCCTGAAGAAGGAGCCAGCATTTCAGCCAGCTGACCGCCTATACACACAGGGTAGACTGGCTGGTGGGAAAGTGGGCCCAAGCAGACCAGTCATTCCAAAGAGTAGCTTCTCAAGTTCTCAACTTTGCCCTCCTTTTTTTCCAGGGGCATATGGGGGCCTCTCAGACCGCCCCTCGGCATCCATCTCCCCCAGTTCCACCTCCATTGCTGCCTCCCATTTTGACTCAATGGAACTGCTTCCCCCAGAGTTGCCCCCCCGTATCCCCATTGAAGAGGGACCCCCAACAGGGACAGCTCATCCCCTCTCGGCCCCCTACCCACCCCTGGACACTCCGGAAACAGCCACAGGTACCAGAGGTGTGAGTGTGTGTCTGCCTCCAGGCCTGGTTGCCCACCTTCCAGAAACTCTTGCCTTGGGATCCTGAGGGATCCGACCTGGGGTAGTTGGGGGGAACAGAGTGGGAGTAATATTTGAGGGGAAGGCCAGGCTTTTCTTCTCCCTGACACCTTGGTTTCCTTCCCTCTCTCCTTCCTGAAGGGTCATTACTGTTCCAGGGGGAGCCAGAGGGAGGTGAGGGAGACCAGCCCCTCTCAGGGTATCCTTGGTTCCACGGAATGCTCTCTCGACTCAAGGCTGCCCAGCTAGTGCTGGCCGGAGGTACTGGCTCCCATGGTGTTTTTTTGGTACGTCAGAGTGAGACGAGGCGGGGCGAGTACGTCCTCACTTTCAACTTCCAGGGCAAGGCCAAGGTGAGTGACTGCAGAGAAGGCTCCCTTGTAGGTGGCGAGCTTGTGGGTAGAGTGGGGAATGTTGCCATCTGGGGAGAAGGGTTCTGTGACTGGCAGGGGCTCAGGCTCCTGCTTTACCTCGCTCGTCCTGCCCTCAGCACCTGCGTCTGTCGCTGAATGAGGAAGGTCAGTGCCGGGTCCAGCACCTGTGGTTCCAGTCCATTTTCGATATGCTCGAGCATTTCCGGATGCACCCTATCCCTCTGGAGTCTGGAGGCTCCAGTGACGTTGTCCTTGTCAGCTATGTCGTGTCCTCCCAGCGACAGCAGGGTGAGCAGAGCAGGTCTGCAGGGGAGGAGGTGCCCGTGCACCCAAGAAGTGAGGAGGTGTGTGTGCCAGAAAGACGGGGCGGGGGGCTTGAGGAGGAGAGGCTTTGTCAGGGAGAGCGGGGTAGAGAGGTTCCTGGGTGTTGGGGTTTCGCAGGAAAAGGAGTACACAGAGGATGAAGGAAGGCAGAGGGCTCCATGTTGGAGCTGGGAGGAAGTTGAGAGTTGGGTGGGTGCATTCCCATTCCATCGGACCCCTCTGTTCCATCATCTGTCTGTCTCCAAATCCATCCACCTGGCCTTGTTTTTGCCCTTCATCACAGCCTTGCCTTGGGCCTGCCCTTCTTGGGGATGCTCGATCTGAACACCCCCCCTTCCCCTGATGTCTGATGTCCCTGTCTGATCTTCCCCTTTTCCCCACCCCAACGTCCCATCTGTCCCCACGTTGCCCCTCCCCCCCAGGCCGGGAGCAGGCCGGGAGCCATGCAGGGGTGTGCGAGGGAGATCGATGCTACCCCGATGCCTCCTCCACCCTCATGCCCTTCGGAGCGAGTGACTGTGTGTAAGTGTGGTCCTCCTCTCACCACCGCCCATGATCCATCTTCCATGGATGGGGGGGTTGCTCAGGAGATGGGATATGGGGGAGATAGCACATGGCTCCTGGGGGGGGATGAGTGAAGGGGGAACTGCGTACAAGAGCTTGCCTCCCTCCCAGGAGATGGGATATGGGGGAGATAGCACATGGCTCCTGGGGGGGATGAGTGAAGGGGGAACTGCTACAAGAGCTTGCCTCCCTCCACAATCAGTCTGTCTTCTTACCGTTCCTATCCAGAACCGAGCACCTCCCATGACCCACCCCAGCCCCCTGAACCCCCTTCATGGACAGATCCCTCACATCCTGGGGCAGAAGAGGCGTCGGGGGTGCCAGAAGTGGCGGCAGCAACAGCCGCAGCAGCCAAAGAGAGGCAAGAGAAAGAGAAAGCGGGCAGTGGAGGGGTCCAGGAAGAGCTGGTCCCCGTGGTTGAGCTGGTCCCCGTGGTTGAATTGGAAGAGGCCTTAGCACCAGGCACGGAGGCCCAGGGAGGCGCTGGATCTGGTGGGGCTCCCGGGGTGACCCTGATGGTGCAGCTCCAGCAGTTACCACTAGGGGGCGATGGAGAAGAAGGGGGCCATCCCAGAGCCATTAATAACCAGTACTCCTTCGTATGAGACACCCTACCCACCCTTTCTCCACTCTTCTTGTGCCCTAGCCCTCAGTTGGTGGGATTGGGGCTGGGCAGGGACATAGAGGAGTGGTAGGAATCCCCTCCCCACATGCTTCCTGACCCTTGACGGCCAAGGGCATATATGTTGGTACAAAAAGGTTCAAGAGACCTGTTAACTCCCCAGTTCATACACTACAGGTGCCCCGTCCCCTGGGCAGGGGATTCAGGCTCCATTACCTCCCCAAGGGGCTCTTATGGTCAGCCCCACCCCTGGGGGACATTTCCCCATTAACCACCCCCCAACCCAAGGAAGGGTGAGGGGGAAGGGCTGTCAGTTATATTAAGGTGGTTGTTGTTGTTGTTTTAAACAAAATGGAGAAGCATAAATAAATAAAAGGGTTTATCTCGGTTCCATCGTGATGGCTGTGGCCAGTGTTTGCAGTGGGGGCTGGGACAGATGGTCCAGGAAGGCAGCCCTCTCAGTGTTGTGAGCGCCAGAGCAGAGAGGCCGGAGGGCTGGGTCAGGTCAAGCCCCTGTTGCTCTCCAGTCCTGTGCCTTCGGCCCATCGCTCCTCTGGGGGCTGTCTAGTTTCTTAAGTGGTAAGTGCAGAGCTAGACAGTGCTTCTCAGGGTCTCCAGCCAAGTTCTCTTAATAGGACAGGACAGTGAACATCAGGATTGATGACCTCCAAGGACACTTCCTGCTCTGAACTCTTCAGTTAAGGCTTCCTACCCTAGGGAGAAGGCAGGCCAAGAGAGATTGGGGGGGGCGGGGCTGGGGGTGCAGTGGCATGTTGGGAGAGGTTTAATGCGGCAGCCAGACGCAGCCATAGTCTGGCTGCTGAGGGGCCCAAGGGCAGGCTGACTGCCCCCCTTCTCAGAGCCAAGCTGGGAAGCTGGAAGATAGATGATAAAGAGTGCTAGCTTCCACCCCTGGCTTTGCTTCTCATTGGCTGTTTGGCCTGGGCAAGTTGTAGCCTCTCCAGGCCTCAGTATCCTCATCTGTAAAATGGGAAGTTTCATCTAGGTTGGAGCTGCTGACATAATTTGCTTGTCCTGGATAATGTTTCCACTGGAATGTCACATAAAATTCAGATTACTGGTTTCTCTTGAAAATCAGAAGATGCAGCCTGACGTGGTACCCACCTTCGACGTGTGCTCCATCCCCACCAACCCACTTCACTCACATGACATGCCGAGCTAGGCCTGTGGGCATTTGAGTTTGCAATATCTTCCCCTGCTTCCCCACCCCAACCCCTCCCCCATTAAACCCAGGCTCTGCTCTCTGAACTGAACTGTAGCTGTGCCCTCTTCCAATGGAGGGCACCTCTGGGCTTCCCAGCTCTGTGGGTGGTGGGTGCCAACAAGGAGGGGCCAGGCTCTGAAGAATCCCACCTATTTTCTTGGCCCTCTCCCTTCCCCACCTCTGTCCAGCACTGCCTCTTACCATTCTGCCTCTCCCAGGCAGTGGGGAGTCTACACTCATGCCCCTCAGCCTCTGCCCCCACCTCCAGGAGGCCCTACCCATGCTTATGACCTTGCTATTCTGAGCCTTGCGTCCTGTTGGGAGACGGACAGGAGACAGCTGGGATCACAGGCCACCCAGGCTGGGGGCTAGCTGGGGGAAGTCCTCTGTCTCTCTTGGTTTTGTCTAATCCCTGGGGCTCCCCCAGACCTTGGCCTCAGGAGACTGGGGAGAGAATTGGCCTTGCCAAATGGGACAGGGGGAATGGTTTGGGGATCTGGATGCCCTGTTCTCAAAGTGAGATGGTTAGTGAAGGCTTTTGCGCCCCAGGGTAAGCAGGACCTGATCCTCTCCTAATCTAGCAGCAACTGCTGCTGCGAGGCTCCCCCCTTCTCCTAAACCCTGCCAGCCTTCAGGGACTTGCCTTCTGAAGATGGGTAGGGGAAGGGTACAAGGGCCCCTGTCCCCCAAGACTTGCATGTCTTGGCTGGAGGAACCTAAGAGACAATTTTCCTCTCAACCTTTCTTTATGGATGGTTCAGCTGAGATTTGGGACTGGTCAGGGGTGGGCCGGGCTCTATCTCTGTGTCCTTCACTACGCCTCTCCCATCCTCAGCTTCAGCCCTCAGGAGGGGAAGAACACCTTCCCACTTTGGGCTCGGAGACCCTAGTGGGAGGGACCCAAGAGCGCGTGCACCTCCATCCCAGTTCACACCCCAGCCTCCCTGATGGTGATCCATTTGCAGCTCTTGGCACGTGGCTCTCCCTCTCTGGCTTCAGTTTCCCCTCTGGGAAGTTGGGGGAGGTAGAAATGAATAACCTTAAAGGGCCCCGTTGGCAGCAGTGTCCTCTAAAGCCAGCCTCCTTTCCTCGGCCTCTTGCTCTCAAGTCCCTTGAAGCTGCGATCTTTGCAGTCTTCTCCCCTTTCTCCATGTTTGGGCATTTCTGCTCCTTTAAGACAGTGCCGCTGTCACTCCTCCAGGTGGTGGCGGGGAGAAGCCAGCCAGCACCAAAAAGGCTTGGCAGATGCTAAGCCTGACTCTGGCCTAAGAAGGTGGGTGCTGGGCCAGGTAGAGGTGCCTGTCAATGTGACCCCCAACATTCACATCCTATCATCTGAGCCCCCCAGCCCCCCCAGGGCACAGCAGGATTCTGCTTCAAGGAAGGGTCTGTTGGAACCATGAAAGGGGGAGGGAAGGAGCACCGTGTCCTCAATTCACCCGAGAGGCTGCCCTCCCCCAAGTCCAGGCAAAGGAAAGGATGAATATGGGGGGCTAAATCCTTCAGTCCCATCCACTCCTGCTGGCCTCCCTACTCCCCAGAAGCAGGGCTTGCTTCTCCTGTGCCCCGCTGACTCCTATGCCATTGTCTGCTTTGGAACTTGAGTGCCAGGTAGGGAAGGCTCAGTGGGCCATACTCCTCCCTGCTCATTTCAGGAAACAGGCCTCGACAGAGGAAGGACTTGAGGCCAGGGCCATGAGGCTGCTTCTTCCCGTCACTGACCTCTCACCATTCTCTCACTGAACTTCTCTCCTCTCTCTACTCCCTTTACCTCTCTTGCCCGCACCCCATGCCATCTTCTGTCTGCTCCTCGCACAGCTGCCCTGGTAGTGACCAAGAGACGCCCCTATCCCAGAGCGGGAGTGGGGGTGGGGGTTCAGAGCAGCTGCTTCTGAGGAAGCTGATACCAGGCCAGCTACTCAGCAACCACTTGTGGCTTTGCACCCAGCCCTGGGCCCCCACCCACCTGGCCGCCGAATGTCAGTTCCCTGCTGTCCCTTTTCCCCACTGCTCCGCAGACTTCCCCCTGACCCTGGCAGCCCTGCCTCTATGCCCCCAGCTCTGTCTGTCCTTATTTCCCCTAGCCCTGTCCCCATCAATCTGCCCGCCATCCAATCCTCTGGCCAGGAATCTCTGCTTTATCCAGCTTTCTCTGGATGCTCCTTCCCTCAGGCCTTTGCCGACAGGGTATGCCCAGCACCTTAGCACACAGCTCTGATCCTCACTCCCCCTCCACTGAGGACAGCTACTTCAGGGCCAGGGTGGAGTGCAGACCACATGCCATCTGGGGTCTGCCATGTAAACCCCTTGGGTTAAAGGAGAGCACAGTATGGGATGAGGTGACCCTCATTCCATGACTTGGGGTGACCCTTGCCCCCATTCTGAAACACTGATCCCTCCTCCTCTGCCATCAGCACATTCTGTAGGCTCTTGGGTTACCCGGCTGCCTGGGTATCCCATTTTCTTGGTTGGGGGGGGATTCCCTGTCAGGGATGGAGAGGCCCTGAAGGCTCTGCTCTCAGAGGCTAAGTTAGAGTGATGGGGGGGGGTGGTTTAGAGGCCAGACAGGCAGTCCTGGCTTTGCTCACCAGGGCCTGGACACTAAATCCCTTGTTGATGGCTGCAGCAACCCTTCCCTAGGGTAGGGTTACCATCTTCTGCCCTGTCCCCTTGACCCTCTCCCCTCCCTACTTCCCCTTGTCCCTCTAGGGCCACTTCCTCTGGCCCCCGAAGGATGTTCTCCCTCTTTTCAATCCCCTGAAGGTTGGAGTCTCTCTGCTGCACTTTCAACTAAGTGAGGAAGAAGGAGACTGCAGCTATAGAAACAGGTTCGGGGGGATGAGACGGGAAGTGGGTGTGAGGAAAGGGAGAAGTGAAGGTCTGAGAGAAGTGGGCTTAAGGGAAGAAGCGGAGGGGTTGAGGTTGGAATGGGACACTCAATGCAGCTGAAGAAGTTGAGGCAGTTGGGGGAGGGGTCAGTAGCAGAAGACAGAAAGTGAAGTCTCTCCCTCCCCTGTTTCCCTGGGGCTGGGGCCACCTTAGCTTCCCTCATGAGTGACATCTCAGGCTGCAGCCCCACTGTTCCCCCTCTGTCAGCAGAAATATCTCTCTCTTCTGACCCCTCCTGCTGGAGTCTCAGCCAGCCAATCCCTGATCTGGGGGAGGGGGAGCCTGGCCCCCCCACTCCCTCATAAGGACCAGCTGGGGGCTGGGGGGGTGGCCGGCTGCTGCAAGTGGGACTGGGGTCAGAGCTTCGTGGAGGGAAGAATAACCTGGGGGGGGCAGGAGCGAAAAAGGAAGAAACCCAGACAGACAGGCAGGTGGACACATTGAGGAAGACCCCGAACACGTGAGAACCCCCCCCCAGAAGGAACACACCGCCCCCTGGCCCCCAGGAAGGGAGCACAATGGAGGCTGCACACGCCAAGACCACAGAAGAATGTTTGGCCTATTTTGGGGTGAGCGAGACTACAGGCCTCACCCCGGACCAAGTTAAGCGGCAACTGGAGAAATACGGCCACAATGGTAAGTGTCCCTTGGAGGAAAGGCTGGTAATGCCCTTGTGCATCCCCACAACATGCACACACTGGAGCCTCTCCCTCCAGGGTATCTGAGGGAAGAGATAGGTCATGGTCCAATGACTGCAGGAGAGGGGAGAATACTGAGAAAACAGGCTCCCTGAGACCCAACATTTTGGGAAATTTTATGGGATAACCTTGATGAACTTCAGATGCCCTTTTGATGGCCTGATTCTCTTACCTTAGCCACAGAGTCCTGGGTGTGGGTGGCATTAGACTGAACGCCAGATGAATATGTCCTTTTCTTCTTTTTCCCTGGGCAGAGCTCCCTGCTGAGGAAGGTAAGTTACTGAAAGCCCTGGGCTCTCATAAATAACATCTCCTCCTCTCTGTGCCCCAGTCCCTTCTCCCTGCCCTCTTCTTCCAACTCCTGGGGCCAATGTCCCTCCCCAAAGGTTAGAGTCTGGCTGGGGGCAGAAGTTTCCAGGCACTTTCTCCTTGAGGCATCTAGCCCTTGAACAACTGCCCACCACTTTGAGGAGCCTGTTTTTGGACTCCTGGCCAGCTCTCTCAGTACCAAGTGGCCTGCCCATCACCCCAGTCCCTTCCTGCTTCAAGCTGGACCCCAGCCTGCACCTGGAGTCCCAGCCGTTCAT